AGCAGCCGCAAGGAGAGAGTTCGGGAATCGCACAGTTAGGTATGATCGGATTATGCGGTGTTGTCACAAAGCAATCTATCCAACTTACCGAGAATGGCAACCAGTACGTGGATCTCAACATCAATAACAAGCCTGCTCGTGCAATGGTGGATACTGGAGCAACTCATAATTTCGTGACTGAGGCTGCCGCAAAGAGACTAGAATTGAAGCTTTCTCCAACCAACGCCCGCGTTAAGACCATGAATGCCGAGGTACAGAATGCTCGTGGGTAGCTAATGGAGTTGGTGTCAAATTGGGAACTTGGAAAGGTATGACAAACTTTACCGTAACCACCATGGATATCTTTGACATCATATTGGGGCAAGAGTTCTTTAGACATTGTCATACTTTGATCGACCCCTACCTCCAACATCTCTTGGTTATGGAGCGGGAAGGATCTTACATGGTACCTACAGTGTCTATGCCACACGGACAGAGCCAAGCACAACTCTCAGCTATGCAGGTTGTCAAGGGGATCAAGAAGTTGGGCAACCATCGCAAGTCTGGAGGAAGACAAGAGTTTTCAAGAGACACTACCACCTTGCATAGAGAAGTTGCTTGAGGAAAACAAAGATATCATGCCCGAGGAGTTGCCTAAGCACTTACCGCCTAGGCGAGAGGTGGATCACAAGATTGAGTTGGAGCCAGAGGCTAGGCCACCCGCATTTGCCCTATATCGTATGGCACCGCCCGAGCTAGAGGAGCTCAGGAAACAATTGAAAGAGCTGCTAGATGCTGGTCACACCCGCCCATCAAAGGCACCTTTCGGCGCACCAGTATTGTTCAAGAAGAAGAAGGATGGATCGTTGTGCTTGTGCATAGACTACCGAGCACTTAATAAGGTCACATTGAAGAATAAGTACACGACCCCGCTCATTGTTGACTTGTTCGATAGACTTGGGCAAGCCAAGTACTTTACCAAGGTGGATCTTCGCAAGGGCTATTACCAGGTTCGCATTGCAGAAGGGGATGAGCCGAAGACATCATGTGTGACGAGATATGAAGCCTTTGAGTGGTTGGTGATGCCCTTCAGCTTAACCAATGCACCGGCCACATTTTGCACCCTTATGAATAAGATTTTTCATCCCTACCTTAATCAGTTCGTGGTAGTCTACCTAGACGACATAGTCATCTACAACAACACCTTGGAAGAACACATGAAGCACTTAAGGAAGGTTTTCCAAGTCTTGCGGGAGAACGATCTATACATCAAGAGGGAGAAATATGAGTTTGCACAATCAAAGGTGCACTTCTTAGGCCATGTTATTAGCAATGGCGAGCTACGCATGGACGAGGCTAAGGTACGTGCTATCCAGGAGTGGGAGGCACTTATAAAGGCAACTGAGTTGAGATCCTTCCTTGGCCTTGTTAACTACTATTGTCGGTTCATCTGTGGCTACTCAGCAAAGGCCGCATAATTGACTGAGTTTCTAAAGAAGAACAAGCCATGGGCTTGGACGGAGCATTGTCAAAGGGCGTTTGAAGACCTCAAGGAAGCTGTAACAGAGGAGCCAGTCTTGGCATTACCTGACTTTGCCAAGACATTTGAGGTGCATACTGATGCCTCAGATTTTTCCATTGGGGGTGTCTTGATGCAGGATAAGCATCCCATAGCATTTGAGAGCCGCAAGTTAAATGAGACAGAGCGGCGTTACACAGTGCAAGAGAAGGAGATGACCGCCATTGTGCATTGCCTTCGTACATAGCGAGATTATTTGCTCGGGTCGAGGTTCGTGGTCAAGACCGACAATGTAGCTACTAGCTACTTTCAGACGCAGAAGAAGCTCACACCAAAACAGGCTAGATGGCAGGATTTCTTGGCCGAATTTGATTTTGCACTGGAGTATAAGCCGGACAAAGGTAACGTTGTAGCCGATGCCTTGAGCCAGAAAGCCGAGCTTGTTGTAATCACTTCAACAAGATAGGACATTCATGAGGCTATAAAATAAGGCGTGTAGCATGATCTAGCAGCCAAACAACTTATTGAGTTAGCCAACCAGGGCAATACGAGACGTTTTTGGGTCGAAGACGGTCTACTGCTTACCACATGTCGGCATGTCTACGTGCCTAAGTTCGGAGACATTAGACGGCGGATCATAAGGGAGAGTCATGACACAATGTGGGCTGGTCATCTAGGCCAACGTCGCACTAGGGCCTTGGTTGAGTCAGTCTACTATTGGCCACGCATGCGAGATGACATAGAGTGTTATGTGCAGACTTGTCTTGTCTGTCAACAGGACAAGGTTGAGCAACAAAAACCCGGAGGACTTTTGGAGCCACTACCAGTTGCGAGCGTCTATGGGAGAGCGTGACTATGGACTTTATCACTTGCCTACCGAAGTCTAACAGTTATGGTACTATTATAGTGGTCGTGGATAGATTTTCCAAATATGCCACCTTCATGCCCGCCTCACCAGGTTGCACTGCCAAGGAAGCCGCCAAGCTATTCTTTAAGAATATGGTGAAGTATTGGGGCTTACCAAGGCATATTATCAGTGATCGAGACCCCCGTTTTACTGGGAAATTTTAGAGAGAATTATTCAACATACTTGGCACGGAACTGCACTTTTCCACTAGTTTCCACCCACAGACAGATGGACAAATGGAACGGATCAATGCCTTACTAGAATACTACTTGCGGCATTATGTAAGCGCGTATCAGAAAGATTAGGCAAGGCTCATAGACATCGCCCAATTCTCTTATAACTTGCTCTATAGCGAGTCCACGGGGTGGACACCATTTGAGCTAGCCACATGCCAACAGCCACAAACTCCACATTCATTACCATCCGTGTTCGAAGGAAAGAGTTTGGGGGCTTATCATATGGCCAAAGGATGGGAGGAGCAGCTTGACACTGCTAAGTCCTACTTAGATAAGGCAACTAAGAAGATGAAGAAGTTTGCAGATCGTAAACGGCGTCCCACGGACTATAGAGTTGGGGACATGGTCATGGTGAAGTTTAACCCAAGACAGTTTAACGCACTACGGGGCATGCATCAGAATCTGATTTGCAAGTATGAGGGGCTGTTTAAGATAGTCGCCAAGGTAGGCAAGATCTCATACAAGCTTGACATGCCATCGTATCTTAAGATCTACCCAGTCTTCCATGCCAGCATGCTTAAGCCATATCATGAGGATAAGGATGATCCGAGTAGGGGCCAATCAAGTCGAGCGCCTATGACTATCACCTCATCGCATGATAGGGAGATTGAGGCTATCATGGATTACCAGGCCAGGCGAAAACAAGGGCAAAAATTCACCGCTATGTCCCTCGTCCATTGGAATGGGCAATCACCGAAGGAGGCCACATGAGAACGATATAAAGATTTATGGCAATTCAAAGATAAAATCCGAGAGTTTATGCAGCAAAATTGCGCCGCGGTCGTTGCAACATTAGGTGGGGGAGAGTGTGATGACTCGCCATGTCATCATGCCACATAGGCGCTATTTGGCATATATTAATGCCACGTGGAAGCTTACATAGGAGGAAGGCTTGCATTTGTGAGAAGATTCTAGAGAAGTATGGACATTTCCTTTGGAAGACCCTAGATCCCTATGGATTTGCTAGGAAAATCATTGGAATCTTCTAGGCTTGTAGAGAATTCTAGAGAAAGCCCTTATCTTGTAAATATTAATGACTTGTGTAACAATTAATATTTACATACTAGCCCCTAGAAGACTAGTATATAAAGGGGGCTGTTCATTTGTATTTCACCAAGCAAACAATTCAAGTTCTCTCTAATACAAAGCTTCCTTTAACAATTCTCTTGTGTTCTTTCTACCATTCTCTTAGCGATCTTGAGTGTAATAAGGCTGACTTGGCATAGCAAGAACGTGAGCAAATTGTCAAGGGTCGTACATGTACTTAGTTAACGACTAAGGACGTGACAATAAGCTCTATATTTAGTGGGCGTTTGGACATACGAATTGTAAAATTCCGAAAAAAAATTAAAAAAAAAATCAAGTGAAAATAATACTTGAAAGCTAGAGTTGTGTTTGAACATGAATACAATTTTGAACTGTTTTAAAATTTTTATGAATGATTTGAAGTGAATTTTGAAAAACAACCTTTTGGAGTTTTTTAAATTTTCGAAAAATTTCGAAATTCATCTTCAAGTGAAAACTGAAAATTTCATTGCCAAACGTTGATTTAAAAAAAAAGTGAAAAAATTTGTATGGGCAAACAGCCCCTTAGCTTGTCAGAGGGTAAAAGAATAGTATGAAAACTTGCACCATAAAGTGCATGAGAATTAAGTTTTATAACCGTATACAGAGACATTACACTAAAAGGGCAGCCTGATGCACTAAGCTCCCGCAATGCGCGGGGTCCGGGGAAGGGCTGGACCACAAAGGTCTATTATACGCAGTCTTACCTTGCATTTTTGCAAGAAGCTGTCTCCACAACTTGAATCCGTGACCTCTTGATCAAATGACAACAACTTTATCAGTTACGCCAACACTCCCCTTCATATAGAAACATTACACTATTAGTGGAATATAATTTAACTAGCTATAATAGACCATTATTCAATTTTTCAGGTTATCTATCAAGTTCGTTACGAATGATTACATGTTGTTATAGGTAAATTTAAGTAATAATGTAAAAGATCAATATACGGTAGGTGCATAAAAAATTAAGCACAAGTGCAAATTATCTTGCATTAATCCTCAAATGCATCTGCAAAAAGTGAAAGTGCAATCAAATAAGAAAAAGTCGAGACACCAATCATTGTCAGATATTGACTTGTAGTATTCCCCTCATCGTTGTGAAGGGGTTGGTCTAAGCACGAGACTGATATATGTGAAGTTTACACACAAGAAGCATCTTGAAAAGTCTATGCATAAGTCTTCCATGTCCCACTCTCGATCTCTACTGGTCCACTCTTTGTTTAGCATCATAACCATAGTTTTTTGAGTCACTAAGTGAGCAAATAAAGGGCCCCCGGCCAACAATGACATGCATTCAGCCACCAATCCTAAGCATCGTCCATGAACCTTCTTTCGACCTCGTAGGAAGCTTACTAGGAAAGATACATATATAAAGGGGAACTTTGCCTTCAACATAAAGGTACACCATGTGAATTCAGTCGATTACCATGGCTGCAAATAATCCTAGTGCAAACATGTCTGATGGGAGTTTTAGATCACTGGACTCACCTGATAGTGATTTTTCCAACCAGCTAATTAACTTTGAGCTTTCTGACATTTTTGAGCTCGATAATTGGCCCGTTCATGATGATCCAACGTTCGTTGTTTCTGGCCCTTCCCAGTACTCAGGAAATGAAGTGGTTGTCACTGAGAGAAGCAGGAGTTACCATGAAGGATCTAGCAACAGTAAGCATTTCATCAAGAAACAGTTTTTAGCATTTTGTTATGTAATTTAGTTATATGGCATTAACATGAGACATCTAATAACATTACACACATGCACAAATTAGGTAAGAGTAGCACATACCATGAAATTTGATTAACTTTATTGATGAAACATTTGGTTTGGTAAACAAATAGACATTGGGAGCAGCAGGGAGAGGAAGGAAGTAAAGGACAAGGTTGCTTTCAAAACACTGTCACAGATTGAAATACTAGATGATGGCTATAAGTGGAGAAAGTATGGAAAGAAGATGGTGAAAGATAGTCCAAACCCAAGGTAAGATAATATCTTCATATTTTCTGTTTCAGGCAAGGGTGACAGAAAGAAGAGTTTTAGTTAGAACTTCCCTTCTACCTTTCCTTTTCTTTCGGTTTTCATTTTTTATCTACGTTCCCATGACACATATCACTCCTCATGCCTTGAAACCTGAAGAACTCAGTACACGCTATGCCATAAAGCTCTCAGAAGATTTTAGCCTTATAGCTCATGATAGCTTATTATTTAGTTTGCTGGCTTAAGCTATCTGAATCAAATAAGCATATATCTGCAGTAACTGTTTGCTTAAATAAGATATAGTGAAAAACTGGTTGCATCTATGTTCAACCGAGCATGATATGACTTATTTAAGTTGTATTTCTATAAGCCGCCTAATTTATTAGTTATCCTAACATTATAACAACTACTTCTCCTCAAATTCCAAGCAAGTTGGGGTCGGTTATTATGAATCTTCACTGTTCATGTCGCGCCATGTCGGTTATTATGAATCTTCACTGTTCATGTCGCGCCATGTCGGTTATTATGAATCTTCACTGACCGGTTACTTGATACTCTTTTCACTCTCAGTCAAGCAACCTAAATTCTAGGAAATTTACCAGAAACATAACTCACCAAAGAACAGTCCACATCTGCCAAACCATGGGACCACATTATCAAGGCCCCATTTCTAGTTAAATATTAAAGGCAAAAGAGAAGTGCTAGTGTCACTTAAAAACGAATGTCACATCAAAAGAAGATGAGGTTCCAATAAGACACCAAGACTAGGGTGTAAGACCTGAAAAGAGAAGTTGAGAAATTGAAAGTAGTAATTCTATTATGGCAAAAAGAAACTTCCACATACTTAAATCAAGTAACTACGCTTTCACAGAGACTAACAAAAAAGTTATGCCTGTTGCTTTATACGAATAGCAGCTCATGGAAATTGGTATGATAACTTGCTCACATAACCATGTTCTGTATCAACAGGAATTACTATAGGTGCTCCATTGAAAGTTGTCCAGTGAAGAAGAGAGTTGAACGAGACAAAGAGGACTGTCGGTATGTGATAACCACCTATGAGGGTGTCCACAACCATCAAGGTCCTTCCCAGTTCTGATTCCTGTAACAGAGCATGAATTTTGAAGTTACTATGACTGTTGCAAAGTAGCTAAATCAGGGTTTTACTAGTAAATTCGATCACCTATACTGTTTCCGGTGTTTAGACCTGACCGCTTGGCAAGTTCGTAACCTATCACAGTGGGCTCAGATGGAGACGTCTCTCAGTTGGCATGTAATCTAATCTTGCTTCCTACAGGATTTATATATGTTATAGCATTACCAACTGACATGGTAATCTTCAGTGTTGAAACATATTGTGAATCAGTGAAGTGATCAATCGAAAAAATAGGCCATCCAATATAAAAATAAAAATAAATCAGCCTTTTTTCAGCCAATGTGAAGAAAGGAAAACTGAAGTGTCAGATGTATCTTGTTTCACCTGAAAAATTGCGATGAACCACAAAATGGTTGAATAAACTCTGTTTTGACCAGGAGGCAAATGCAGTAGGAAAGTCGTTCCGTGGTTTTAGATAAAAGTCAGATGAAGCCAACAGATACTAAAACTAACAGAAGTTTCCAGAGAACACAGATAAAAAACTCTCAACCACTTGATAAGATTAAGTACAGAGGAACAATCCCATGTTTATCAATAAGTTCGTACAAAACTCCAAAGAAAGCATTGCTAGTCTGACTCATTTCTCGACCTACTCAACTAAAGGTGGCTCTACAAGTTGCATAATATTGATGATTTGTCTACCATGAAAATATATTGCATAGCAAGTTATTGACTACAAACAGCGGTGTCATTTGTCAACTCAGAAACTCGATCAAGAAACAATGGGAAGAGGAAAAGCATCATGAAAATGAAATGCAAGCAAAACTAGAAGAACTATATGCCTTGATATATGGCCATCCTCCTTTAATCCACAGGAATAAGGAAAAGGGAAGATTAAAGGGGCAGTGGAAAGTGCTTCTGACATAAAACTTGGATTATAAGCAAGCAGTGACAACGGAAAACTCGGCAGTGCAGAGGAAAACTGAAACTTTGCAGTATAATTTCTTGAACAAATTACTGTTTGAACATTCCTACTAACAATCAAATATTGAAGCCAATTCCCGACGCATTTGTGATCTTCAACCCCTTCCCCAAGCAGTCATAACATCAGAAAAAGATAGAGCATCAAACTAGTCTCTAAATAATATTAATGTTTTATTGGAACATAAAGATTGCAGGAAATACTTCAAGGATGATGCATTGCAATGCAAGTCCAATGTCAGCCAAGACAAGAGAAGCTTGGAAAGTATCAGTCACAGGCTATACTGTAAAAAGTTTACAAGGGAAAGAAGGTAGAAATAACCAGCTTCAAGAAAGTTGGTCTACAACATAGGAAGCACAGCATGAGAGCTCCAAAAACTTTGTTATAGTTATAAACGAACATCTCGAAATGCTGACAACCATTACAACAAGGAAATGGCTTGGAGATAATGCTATGCTGGCGAAACTTTTTTCAGCTACTTTACATAAAGATGATCGAGAGATATCTTCACTTCATATACAAAATGGAAAAATATACATGTGTAGAAAGAGGGTGTTATAACTTGATTCCCAAATGACTGGGCTTTGGACAACCTTCAGTTGGAAAAATAATATCAGGATTTCGTATATGAACATTTGATGTTGCCAACTCTTTCCATTTGGAATCTCTAATATGAAAATCCGATGAGATGCTCCACAAAGCATCTGCAGGCCGCATAGTTCTCCTTATCTGCGGCGATGATCTTATTATGGCATTTGACATGGAAAATGGACGTTTGCTTGTCCTCCCCATGCCACTTGATAGCAACCACCGTGTCCCAGCTTGTTGCTGTCTTTTTGTGCCCCAGATTTGTTCATCATTAGGCTCAAAATTAAACCCTGCGACATGAATTTCAGTTATCCTAAACTGAGAAACAGCCTGCCTATGGATTCCTCTCTCACTTTCTCCAGCAATAATTTCTTCCTGAATGAATTGCTCCTTTGGATCATTTTCACAGCTTGAATTTCTTTCTGATGCTCTGCTGCAGGAATATTGTTCAACAGGAGCATAAGATCTCTCTAATTGAATCAGAATAAGCATGGAGATGCCGACCATCTCATAGTCACGCAAAGGATCTCTGAGTTGAACCCTCAGAGCTAAAGTCAAGTTGTTACACAGTTGACCACATTCTCTACCCAACAATTCCGATCTTTCTTCACCTGTTGCAAGTCCTGAATTATCTAAATCAAGGGACTTAGCATGATGGGCTGCTAATATTTTGATGGTTCTTTTTTTAACTCAGGATTATTACTGAAATATCCAGCATCCAGCCTCAACCATTCATCTGGTGAAACAAACAGCTCCACTAAATCACCCTCGCCATCATCACTTTCTTTGCCACTCCAATGCTCTAATGCGCTAGCTATATTAGAACCAAAAACTTCACTAAGTTGAGGCCTAATGCTTGAAGGTGCTTCATTATCTGACAAGTTTGACTGAATTCTTAACCCTTCTACTGTAAGAGGTTCTATCTTATCCATTGCCAAAGGAGCTAGATCCTCCATAGACACAAAACCTAAATCTACATCATCAATTATTGAGATTGAATTCAGATGACCAGAACTCCGATGTAAAAACAGATCTTCGCTGTCCTTCTTCATACCAAATAAGCCATGCCAAAAAGTGAACCTGCCAAAAGAATCACAAGAACATAACTTAAACCATCGTCTTGGATGACATACAAATAATGAAAATAATAGAAAACATATAACTTATATCATGATCTTAAAATTACAAACCTCTCATCTGGTTCAATTCTGGATCTGGCTTCCCAGGCCATTTCTTGTATATTCCTCCCCGTGATATCTTCTAAAGGCATCAGTGTATCCGTACATTTTGGAAATTCCCCCAGATGCCCAGCAGCTGAGTATTTCCATAGCACTACAACCCATTGCAGCAGGGAGCACAACTGGACTGGAAAACTGCATGGTCAACCTTGCACCATTTCTTGCATTCCTAAAATGTTGAGGACTCATTGAACATAAGAAGCCCCCATTATGCGTGCACATTTTGGAACCTAAGCCCTCCCCAAGAGGAGGTAATTCTAATGGTCTTTCAGGGGAAAGATAGATTGGACTTCCAAACCCACCAGAGCTGGTGCGTGGTGAATTCTGGAATGCTTTCTCATTCAAACCCCAATCTCGCATCAAAGCTTCAGTTTCCAAGTTTTCTATCATTTTTGCATTCCTTTTACTCCTCAATGACTGCGTACCCCGCCAGTACTCCGTCTCAAAATCCTTAATAACCGATGACAAATCAAAGTCATCAGAATATGCAACTCTTCCATGAACACTTGAAGCAATGCCACTGAATTCCACTTGATCATCTGTTGCATCAAAACCAAAAATTGGGTTTCCAGAAGAAAGGGTCTCCTTCTCAAACTTTCTCAAAAGGCATTCTCTTGGTNAGGGCGAGTTCTCATCACTTCACCCTTACGTTTCCAGTTTACACACAAAGCAAGGTCCTTGAAATTGACAGGCAAGCCTTCAATGGAATGAACATGAAGAAAGAAACAACAATTGAACCGTCGATGGCGGATATGAGTTAGAGCCTTTAATGGATTCCAACTCCACATTGATGATTTCTTCTGTTTATGCAGCATGTCATCAGATACAACATTGGAACTGGATCTAGAGATAAGGGTATTGCCAAAAGAATCATGCCCATGATCTGCTTGAAAAGTTAAAGCCATCTGAGAGGTTTTATGTACATAAAGGGCTTTACTAATTTCTTCAATGTCACGCAGCAATCGCCCACCATTCTGTTCCCCGCTACTGCTCTTCCAAGACATCTTTTTCACTGCCAAAACGTAAATATCCAACCAAGAATCCAAATGAGAAGCCAAAAACAAAAAGACCTTTGTGGGCCAGAAAATTTTATTTATATTTTTACGACTCCTGAACAGCTTGCATGCACCTCGACTATTCCACCTCGTACTTGCTACCTCCCACCAGCACAAGTATCATAAAAGTTTATATTTTGTAAGGGAAACTCAAAAATAAAATAAAAAATATACCTAAATATCAACTATGCCACAATTCCAAACTAATTGTAGGCTATTTTCAGAGGATTTATCACAGTTTGACATCAACTATAAGCCGATCATTTATTGGGTTCGAGACTGACTATGCTTTGCACATCGAAGAGTTAAATCCAAAATAATTATAAAAGAATAAAATATAAAAAAATATAAGTATTCAAGCCCATCATCAATCTTAATGTTTCTATTTTAGCTTATATAAGATTAACATAAGCTTAGGTATAATGAAGAACTAAACTTGTTTTAAACTTTTAACTTCATTTCTTCAATTTTGAGTTCAGTAAACCAATACTGTCCCTCAATTCTCCCAATACATTACAGAAGCTTCAACTACAAATCATTATGTTTCTCTTCAAGTTTAACATAGGTAATTAGGTCAAAAACAAAGAACTAAACTTATTCTAAGTTTATTTTATTTTCTTCAATTAATTCCCACAAATTTTCAACAAAATCAAATACCCAATTCAATACAGAAGTTCCAACTTCAGTTACAGTAAACAAATCCAACTTACACCTCAAATTAAAAAGCGTTGAATCTAAAAATAAAGAAAGAACTTGGGAAGAAGGCTTACAGAAGTGAGATCCAACATAGAAGAGCAAGGAAGATGAGTTGACCGTTTATTTTAGCTAAAGTTTTATGGGTTGCCCGATTGATGATGTTATCCTCTGCTACTACTGGCTAGCTTATACCTTTGTTTTCTTTTTGGGGAAATGGTGGGTATATTCTTATTGAATATCGTGTTTCTTTTGGGTTTTTCTTCTGCACTTTCTCTGACAGGTCCCTTCTTTTCCACGTGGCCTACAACTCCAGCTTGGAAATTGTGGGTGTTTTCGTAATGGAGGAAAACATCTTTTTTCAATATTCTCATATTTAGTTTTTTAAATTAGGAAAATTACTTCTCTGGGAGTAGTGAAAACAAGGTCGCCTTGTTAAATCCTATTTTTTCACGATTCGTATTAAATCTAATAATTACTTTCTCCGGTCCAAAAATAAATGATTTTTTTTGTCTTTTTTATGGTCCAAAATAAGTAATTTTTTCAGATTTCAAGAATAAGTAAATTATTTTTTTCTTACATTGCCCTTGGAATAAATAATATTTGAGTATGTGTTAAGAGTGTTTATTTCCAATGCAATTGAATTCTTCCATATGATCAGATTCACGTTTCCACTTCTCTAGTTCTGTTACTCTTCAACTATGGAGTGCTTGTTAGTATAAAAATGGAGAGGCAATACGAGAGGGATGATCAAGGCTCCATGAATTTTAAATTTGAAGACTCAATCAAAACAGTTCAAGAGTACTCTCTGAACCGTAAAGTTGAAATACATGACAAATTGAGATTCTTGCTGAAAATTTGAAATCACATGTTATGCCGTTGCTTCATTTGCTTCATTCAATGTTTAGTGAGAGTTGATAATAATCACGTCCCAAATCCCTATGGCATTATGTCAAATATAAAATAAAATTAAAAAATGTGAAGAGATAGTAAAGGATAATATGGTAAATTTTATTGTTAATTAATGTTAAAATGTATTTTTTTTAATCTGTGTGAAAACAATCAAAAAATTACTTATTTTGAACCGGGGAGTAGTATTTATTAAATATTTGATGGAGATCAAAAGTACTCATTTTGTGTTAACTTAAAGGACCAGAATCATGGGCAGAGCTCGGATTTTGAGTTTATAGGTTCTTGATCCTTGAAAAAAAAAACAACTTATTAGGTTCTGAATAGAATAAATTTTTAATATAAATACAGCGTTTGAACCAAAATGGAAGGATAGTTCTGTTCCTCAATAATATATTTAAGGGATCGTTTTTAACCAATCTGTAATATAAGAATCCATATTTACAATTTTCTCGAAATAATGAAAAGCTAACAGAGAATCTCCAAAATTATTCTGACTATTTGAAAACGCCACAATGGAGTAGGTAATGGATTACTTTGTGTGTTTTTTTCCTTTATTAAGGTAAAAGACCTAACAAAAGGGACAATAGCCAAACTTAACCTAGTCCTACACTTAAGAGATCGTTTAGTTTATTTTCTCTATCACGATTCACGAGAATATCTACATAGTCACTTGCCTGTTATTACTCCATTAATGACCCATTTAGCAAAAACGGGAAAAGTTTTTTTTTCAATGCTATATTGGTTAGGGTGGGTTCGGTTCGGTTTTGTAGAATTTTGGTTCGGTTAATTCAGTTTTCGGTTTGTGATTTTAATAACTAAAATCGAATCATAATAACTTCGGTTCGGTAGAATTTCGGTTCGGTTAATTCAAGTACTTCTACTGTCTTCAAAAAAACAATCTCTCTACGTTCTTCAAATTCATATAATTCCCTTTATAATAATCCCTTGACTGAGCTTAAGACAAAACAGAAACAACAGCAGTGGCAGTGGCAGTAGCAGCACTATAGGAGAAGCATTGGGTATTCATTTGCTCCAAAACCAACTCATTATCTCTGATAACAAAGAGAATGAGACACCAAATAAACCTGAAAAATCCAATCTTTGTGATAAAGAAAATACTTTACCATTTAATTGGACAAATAAGGTTGTGAATAAAGAGTCTGCTTTGAAAGACTCGGTTCTGAAGGCATCTTCACTTCAGTTATGTATAAAAAAAATGAACCAGAGTCCAAGATTGGGTTGAAAATTTTTAATTGGACAAATAAGGTTGTGAATAAAGAGTCTGCTTTGAAAGACTCGGTTCTGAAGGCATCTTCACTTCAGTTATGTATATAAAAAAATGAACCAGAGTTCAAGATTAGGTTGAAAATTTGTGAACATACGGATACAGAGAATCGAACAGAGTCCAAGATTGGGTTGAAAATTCGGTTCTTCGATTTTTCGGTTTAACCGAAAATCGAATTATTAAAACCGACCACTGAATCGAACACCGAACTTTTTAAAATAATAAACTGCAAACCGACCGAATAAATCGAAAAATCGAAACCGAATAAACCGAAATTTTCGGTNTTATATTATGTATTATATATTATATTCTAATGTCTAACTATTAATAAGTCTAACTAATAACATGTTTGGCCAACGTTCTCAAGAGGCCAAAAATACTTTTTTTTCTCAAAAATACTTTTTTTTTCCTAACTTGAGGTGTTTGGCCAAGCTTTTTTTGGATAAAAATGCTTTTGGGAAGAAGCACAAAAAAGTAGCTTCTTCGCAGAAGTTGAAGCAGTTTTGACTTTTCTTCTTACCAAAAATACCCTTAATAAAATATAGTATATGCCAAAATAACCATTAAACTTAATACTTAGGATATTAATGTATATATATTTCTTATTATTTTTAGGATAGCTTTCTAATATATAGTGACTTTAGGGGTGAATATTTTTATATTTGTTGAATAATTTTTAATATATTTAACTTATATTAAAAGAATTAAGTACTTTTAAGTTTTATTTTCATATTTTACTTAAACAAAATGAAAAGATTTAATTAATGCATGTAATAATAAAATTTTAAGATTATTTATTTACTTATAATATTAATTATTAAATAAATCTATTTGTGTCTTTATTCGTAATTTGATACTTAAAAGCACTTTCTAAAAAGCTTGGCCAAACATAAATTATTGCTTAAAAGTGCTTCTCAGAATGATTAGCCAAACATAAACTGTTTATCTCTAAAAGTACTTTTTTTCAAAATAATTTTTTAAAATAAGCTGATATCTCCAGCTTGGCCAAAAAGGCTATAAGCTAGTAGGAGGTCAACATGCATGCTTGGCACCTCAAGGGCGTTATGGTAATTTCGTGTGAAATGGAGCAATGTGATTGAATAAAAAGGCATCTTACTGTAGCTGCCATATAGATATTTGAGTGATTAGACCGAATTGCCCAGTGCTTATCTCAGCATACATCATCATATTATTCAAAAAGCTTTTCTAAAACGTGGGCCCTAGCTGTCTCATTTCAAGAATACGATAGCCAAATTGTTGGAGAATTTTCGGTCGTACTGTATATTTGTGTCACCTTTTAACATGTACCCTATTTTTTTAAAAATTATTAATTTGGTAGCCATCTCATAAAAAATCCGTAATAATATGACAATTACACCTCTGACACAAGATATAAAACAATCTCCTCCTCTCCTCTCAGCAACTTTATAAAATAATCATAAACTTATCTAGATTCATCTTCAAAATCACACTTGCATGAAGTTGTTTCACCTTGAAGCTAAAACTTCATGCTAATGTAGCATGAAGTTGTTTCATATTGAAACTAAAATTGCATGCTAATATAGCATGAAATCGTTTCACATTGAAGCTAAAACTCCATGTTAATGCATGCTGAAGTTATTTATCCCGCAGTCTACAGTTTTGCCATGAATTTTATCCGAAACTTCAGTCTAA